TGCCGCCACGTGACAAAATGCCGGTGACTCGTAACTCCAACTCTTTGCCGAACAGGCCCTGAGTCTTCGTGACTCTTCGCACTGCCGACTCCCACTTACTTCATTCTTTGATGGCGGCGTGTGATGCACTTTGGACAGCTCGTGCCTCAAGGCCATGAATGGCGTCTACGATCGCCGGGCGGTATAGATCGCATGGGAGGTCGCTCAGCGTTCAAAGATCATTGTAGCCGGCTAATGTTCCGTTTCTCAATCGCACCCTCAATCTCACCCTAGGTCATCCGATCGCAGGTCTTAGTGCATGATCAGTACGCCCGATTAAAGCCCGGGACTAGTAGTACGTTATTTGGCAGCGACGGCGAGTCGCGCGTGCGCAGGCTTATTTAGTACTCCCGCGATAGGATAGACTCCTACTGCATGAATCCGTCCGAAGGTCTGATGAAAGCAAAGGTACGTGTTATGTCTAGTCTTATAGATGCTCATTATGACAAGCTACGATGACGACGGCCAATCTGATCGACGTTCGCGAAAAGATCGAGAAGACGCTCAAAGAGAATTGCTCTCACCACATTGCGCGCAAATGTCAAGGAAATGTTGTGTATGTGCGAGGAGTGTACGAGTGGCGTCGTACATCAAACTCGTAGCTCGTGATTATCTCATCTAGCGATGTGGTCCTTCATGGGTCGGATGGGTATCGCACCCCCCATCTTCATCAGTTGCAGATACACGAGTCGGGGAAGCATGCATCCCGGACCGGCCATATCCACGTTGTACTGGCCCAGGGTTCATATCGAGTCAGAGCAGTACGTGGCATATTGTAGGCTCGAATACGCGTGTATGATAGCCCAGGTGTCCTAGAAGCTCCGTTCTGCACTTTCGCAGTTCCCTAGGCGGTATGTCGATCGCGACGGCCACCCCCAATGACCCCGGCATCCACAACATTTCGGGGCCTCCCGGTGTTCATGATCGTGCCGCAGGTGCGAAGCGTTGGATCCGAAACAATATGGGACCATGCAGATGGGCAAGGATGACCAGCAGACTTTCGCCAAGCCATGTCATGAACGCATCGCCGTTGGCCATCCCGGACCTGACTCCGTGCCGAGGTGGTAGTGCTCTCGTTCGCCAGCGGGTGGCTGTCCGAGCTAGGTGCTCATGGAGCATGCCTCGCCAGGTCCAGGCAATGGAGCACTTGACCCACGTATGCAGAAAGATGAGTGGATGGTCGAGTTCTCGCTCGATCATTTGTATTCGACCAGCAATGTATGAGAGCTAAAAGGCACGTTGCTGAACGTTTGCCTGCGCAAATTTTGTCACGAGGACTGCCATTTCCTTGGCCGCCCTTCAGGTGCCCCCTGTCGTACAGCTTCTCAGTCGTGATATTGATAGAGACGCAGTCGGACCGTGGCACCCTGAAGAGACGTCTCGCCCGAGGGAATGGCGGCCAATGTCATCGAATGAACAAACGATGCGAGCTATGTGCTCAGCGGAACCCTGCAGGGTTTATGTAGTGTGTGGCACCCACCAAGAACGAAAACGTACCGGTCCGATGGCGCTCGCAGCATTCCACGTGTGACTTCGTTCCTGACTTGGAACGGTTGTGCACCAAGCGCGTGTCCTGCTCGGAGTCTCGAAGCACATTGTTGCCGGCTTCTGCAAACCGTTTCCGAGATTTCGGTCACGGTTCGCGGGTCACGGTTCGCGGTACCCGGCACAGGCTCCGAGGACATGCGATGTGCCTTCCCGAGGGATCTTACTTCAGAGTTAGGACTAGTAGAGCTGATGGGTGATAACCTTCCGCAGATAGAGTTGAGAGCTGACTTCACGTTGACGTTAGCAATGTGAATGGGCCCTGGGCCCGGGGTACGAACATTGCGCGCTTCCGAGAATACAACGGTCAACGACATCGATCATAACGTCCATGCGACCGATATCCAGGGATCATAGCTCCGGTAGAGCTCGACAGGTAAGAACAATGAGTTTAGCCGATTTTCGCCGATAGAGGTACAGTGATAACTTATCGTATGCGAGAATCAGGAGCAAGTGTGTCTATCATCTTCTGTCCATCTCCGCCGTAGGTTCACAATGCGCCGGCAGTGCAAAGTTGAACATTTTGGTTCAATATGTTGAAGCTTGCGTGAGGAGGTGAGCACATGCCTACGTCTCCGCAAGGTGCAGAAGACGTGAGGTGAAGGATGTGGACGGAGAACTGACCCTCTTCGAAGTGCCCGGTCTGGGCCATCCTCCTCCCACATTTCCCATGGCATGATGGGAATTCCCGGCCTCTCGTCCCCGTTATCGCTCAGGTAGACACGGAGTTAGGGCCATTCCAAGAATGAAAATCTGGGGGCGACAATTAGGGACGAACGCAGTACATACACCAAAGCCGATAGGTCTTTCTCATCCTGCTAGACATTCCACTCGTCGACTATGATCAACGCACGAACCGGTGCGTCGTTAGCGGGCTTTCCGGCGAAGCCCAGGTGGTGGCCTGCTGCAGCGCTATTGAACCCTTTGCCTCTTCCGTGCTTTCCAGCAGCCCATGGCCAATACAACGTTTGTTCAGCGCTCATGGCGGCGTGCAAATTAGCGTTCCGCACGACTAAGCTTCAAGGGTTATCGTGAGGCGTACCTTCTAGCTGGAGCTGCTAAAGGGCTGCTGGGCCGTTGGGGGCGCAAGGTTGCTGCTGTCGGAGCATTGTAAAGCGGTAATCGCCTTGACGTTTTTGAGCAGGTACGTCTTGCCTTCCTTGAGACATGTTCGTTCGCTGATTAGTGGGCGAGAGGGAATGAATGTAAGAGGAAATTCAGATTCCATTTGGGGAGATCGTAGGTTCGCCGTTGAGTGGCTTTAAGTAGCGCACATTAACCGACGAGGGACGAGGTCATGACATCATGTTCGGCGGTGAAAGTGAAAGGTGTGATAGCACCAGCCCCTCTGCATCGTTCGATCGCGACATAATCGAGGCCTGGACAAACGTCTGTGCGCATATCTCTCCGTCTTCTGCGGAGGAGAATGTGGAAGCACACAGAACGTAAGTAGCAGGTTTTTATCTGCGAACTCACACTTCTGGACCAGGCGCTTACTGCGTCTTCACTATGACGCAAGGCGTGCGCAGCGTCGAACTACATGCATTGGGGTTTCATGAGACTTGTGAAGAGATCTATTAAGTAGAATTTTCGGCCAACGCAATTGAGAAGATCCCGTTTGCAAAGCGTTCCTGACACCGTCTCGACCTTGAGGGCCAGGGATGTGGTTGGATATTTGACGACATGGCAAGCCTGCGTGCAGATACACACGGCACTTTTCGAGACCTTGAGCAAAAGCTTCGGAAGATGTGCTCGGAGCTCATGTCGTGTCGTGTCCTCGTGCACTCTGCCTAGAAGAGAAGGCGCTAGGAATGTCAGACATTCAGGCGGAAGTAGGTTGATTACCAAAAGTACGTCAACTGCGGAGCGAAGTAGTGCTAGTGAGCGTTTGCTGGTATCGTGCGTATTTGGACACGACCTTACAGAAAGTGGACGTTGACACGATGCCGCTCTGAGGGGGGGATCTAGGCGATGTAGGCAGCGCGCAGTGCAGCGTCATCGGACATACGGAGTCAAGGTGGTCCTTGGCCGTCGAATATCTGTGCCGATTCGCTCGAGCCGTACACTTCCAGCCCGTTTATAGTCCCTAATCTAGACAGTGGAATAGACAGGAGAGTACGAGTCAAATCTTGATTCGATTCCAAGTGAGATCCCCGTACCTACGATGGAGCTGCCCCGCGTTGACGTACACAACCGCGGACTAGCTGCATGCCCGCGAGCCAACCCTCAGGACGTCTCGCTCGATGCGATAGACATGAGGTTTCCTCCTGGATATGAACCCTGCGAAGGGCTACCCCAATTAGCAGGGAAGGATGACACGACGAAAGACGTACCAGGCACTACGGCAAGTTCATGGTCTTCCTTTATTCAGCATGCTCGGCTAGGGCCTGAGGAATGACTCTGGTCGAGCCGTAGTCGGCGACCGAGATCCTGAATCTGAACTAGGGCGGCAGCGTAGCGATTCTTGGAAGAACCTGGGCGGTGACGTCGTGGCAGCTGCACCATGCCATCGTAGTGGCAGCACTTACGATGTAAATGACTCGGGTACGATGTCATAATGCAGGTACGCGGGTGGTTAGAACAGGGCGTTATGGAGAAAAGCCTGACCCTTCGCACACTATCGCTGGAGTGACGCGCATGCATCGCGGGTGGCGAAAGAAGCAACCCGATATAGCGACACTGAGTCCGCATTGCGAAGTCCGGGGCTCCGTCGCTTTGAAAGCGGGGTCTAGACACGGAGAGGTCAAAGGGAGCGTACGAGATACCGCAGCACGTGGCGGGAGTAGCCTACAACGAGGTATGTAAACCTCTGGGATATCGGGCCAGGGAGGTATGAGACCTCCCAGTCACGCATATGATTGGCTGTCAGCCTGGGACATCAATACGGGCGCATCAGATCTTGATAGCTAGAACGGTGTACGTACTCGAGGCAACGTCAAGGAACTTGAATAAAAAACATACTCCCTCTCAGGAGGTCTCAGTAATTGACGAGGCAGCATTTGTCCAACAGATGCAGAGTGTTGTGCAGGCGTGGCGGGAGAGGAGGGTGGGGGACGCGCGACATGGAAGACCACCGACGCTGGCGCTACCGTGGCGCATCAGCGCGCAATTTTTGATGATCAAAGTGCCCAATTGGTATTGTGGCGCTTGATGCGAGATTTTAGGGTTTGCGCGAGGAGGACCCGCCATTCGTGCTCCCTCCCCTCCTCGCTGCG